AAATCTCACCGTTTGCGTTTATATTTTGCAAAGATGTTTTTATATTTGTGTTTGAATCAATCTTAGGCTTTTTTTTTTTTTGGGTCAAAATCAATCTTAGGCTTTTATAGATAACATTCTCTGATATTTTTCTTGATAGTGTTAGGGCATGATTATGTGTGGTAAATAAAAGTAAATATAAGAAATTTTTAATATTATAAAATTTTTATATTTACCCAAACCATTTTTGAGTTTCTAAATATAGAATCTTTTTTCTCTATCTTTCTTTTTTTTCTCTCTTTATTCATCAATCTCAATACAATTAATATTATAAAATTTATATATTACTCCAATCTTATTTACTACCTATATATAATCATGCTCTTAGTTCTTTACTTATTTTTCTTGTTTTGCTTCAAAGGAATTGGTTTTTTCTCACAAGCAGAAGTTGTTTGGATCCCGTAAATAAAACCCAGACCGGCCGGGTCGGACCATAACCCTGACTACACAATACCAATAATACACATGGTTACATTTTTTTTTTTTTTTTACACAGGGTTACATTGACTTGTGGCTTTTGTATTTTATTTTCTTACCCTAATCTCTTTTGATTCATTTCGTGTTGTGAATAGAAAACAAAAGACAAATCAAAATAGTAAAAACGATTAATTAATAATTAAAAGACAAATCTCTTGTCTAAGCCACCACCACTTTGTCCAATCTCATCGACTCAAGCAGCCTCTCTTCCTTACATTTCTTAATAAACGCTTCCACTCTCCGATTCAGCTCCTCTCGACTCGGCGACATTTCCTTCTTCATCTTCACCGGCGACGTCACCGTCGACGGAGACCGTTGGTAATTAGTCATGTCCCTAAACGTCACCGATTTCCTCAAGGCACGTTCTTGTACCTCGACCGTGTCGGATCTCCGATGATGACTAGTCAACGTAGTTGACTTTCCCTCCTCCGTTACTATCTTCCACGTGTTCTCCATCGTCGTCTTCTTCGGTTTCGCCACTCTCAACACCTTCTTCCTCTTGTTACTACCGCCTGCAAATTACCAATTTACCCCTCAAAAAATATCTATACTAGCCGTTATTTTCAATGACGTCATATTCCCCCTCAATTATTATATTCATATTTTAAAAATTTTGAAAAAGCGACGCGTCACTCTCTCCGCAAGTACCTTTTTGACTCGCTTTGACCGGTTTCCGGTGACCGGAACTAGCCGTAACAAGATTCTCCGACTCCTCCATCATCGACGGCGACACTTGATTCAACTTCGATATCTCATCTGCACCGTCGATTACTCCTGATATCTCCTTTTCCTTCTCTTCATACACAATTTCCGATCTCTCCACCTCTGCAACGACGATCGGCGGCGGAAATGTCGCCGGGAAATCGAAATCCGGATCAAGATCCACATTCCTAACGACGATCTGCTCAGTCTCATGAATAATCTTATAGTCGTCATCGTCGCTGTGTAAAATCTCTTCGTCTTCTCCATCGTGATAGCTCGAAGAAGCTACAATAATGGTGATTATGACGTTGATGACGACGAAGAGGTACGGTGGTTTCAACCACGAGAGAAATGAGCTCCAAATGATCGGAGATTGGGATAAGGAGAGATCTAAAGCTATAGGAAGATAAGCTTTAAGAAACAGAGCCATGACGGTGATTCCGGTGGAGATTATCACCGCTTTGATGGTCGACGATACCATTTTTTCCGATTTGGTCTTCTCTAGTGATCTATTAATGACTGTTGAGTTATATATATAAAGTGGAGGAGCTTATAGGGAAGCTAGACTACATATGATTTGATTATACACCGTTGGATCTAAGAATGGGAAGATCATGGCTAAATCCACGTGTCTGTGTTTGCAAAATTGTGAGTAAGAAAATAAATGGAACTTTCCTACTTTGTTTTTCAATGTTTCATACATTGTGTGACCACTTATTTTTAACCCTTTTCGTACGTTCACTTTTCAGTCAATATTTCACTTTCAGCGGCAAAGAAAAACCGGAAAGAAAGTATTTGGTTTTGTTTTTTTATCCCGACATAAATTATTTGATAAGTAGAACTGATGCACGAGTAGAATAGATCCTACGTGCAGAACTGATTTGTTTCTAACGTGTTATTCACATAACTAGTTTCCGATGGAATACCAATTGAAGATATATTTTCAATAATATGTTTATATAAGTTATAACACATCAACCTGACCTTAACCGG